CTGAGTTGCCGCCATGTGATTGGCTGATTAGAAATTAAGTGTTAACGAGCAGTTGGACAGGTGCACCTAATAAAGTGGCCGGTGAGTGTATATATCTGTATTAATCAGAATGTATGTAATATTAAAATAGTTAACAGATTATAATTTAACACATCTTTATAATTAAGTATGGAAATAAAAGTATTTTTTCCTAAATSGAGCGCATTACCCTGAAATCCAAAAGTATATCTGAAAGAGCTGTATTTCCTTTAGCGCATGTGAAAATGAGCTGCCAGAGCAGATTGYGCAGTGGCTACAGTCTGTCTGTGCATGGAAGCAACATCAGGTGAGATTAAATACATCAATTGTAAAAATTGTAAACTTGGTTCCAATACAAAACAAAGATTGTACAATCACATGTTTTGTTTCTGGTGTTTTGCTTTGTGTTTCAGGATGTTGATCTGTAAACCGTCAAGACTTGTGCTTTTGTTTAGTATTTATTCTGTCTCTTGTTCTATTTTGTGTATTTCTGGTTAGTCTGTTRAGTTTCAGCATYGTTCCTGCTTCTGTTTCTGCCACCCCCACCTGCACCTGATCCTGGTTGTCCCTGCACAGGTGTCAGTGGTTTCAGTTCATGTGTTTGACTTTATTCCAGGTGTGTGTTTTGGTATTATAAGACCAGTGATCTGGTATTATTTTTTTCTTCTGTCTGCAGTAACTCTGCAAGAGTTTTGGTTTTTGCTGCCACAACAGCATTTTGTTAATAAATTTTTAGTTTTAGATTACAACTCGTTGCTTCCGTCTGCACTCTGGGTCTGACCTTAAAGTACAATCCACCAAATAACACAAACACATTAATATAACAAATTATAAGATGTTTGCTGTGCAGCTGTACRGTTCAGCACATCAAATCTTAAAACACTGATTAAACTTTCTGTGTCAAACTATGTTAAAAGGCAGGACTGGAAAGTCATTTTTACGAACCAGTACTGATTTAATGTTTCCAAATTCACCTATGTTGAAAAATATGATGTGGAAATAACATTGCTATTTCAACAATCAGATTTGCAAAATCAAAACAAAATTCACTGATTAACCAACACAACTACCAGGTGTTGATTCAACATTGACTAGATTAGTGATGGGACGAACAACACTGGTGCGTCAGCACTGTGCCGAGCACACACGAGTGAAACCCCCGTATTRGTGCATCAAYAAGAAAAAGTCATGTGACCGATACAGAAAGTGTGTTTATAAGGAAACAAACTGTCGATATGTTGTGGATTTGTTGGATTTTTGCCCTCACCTGGTTCCACTGACTTCATGGATCGTTCCAAGAAGTTTTCCCCAGTCTGGAATAATTTTGATCCTGTGACGCATAACAACAACAACAACAACAAACTAATGATTAACCAGTGGCGGCTGGTGGATTTTTCACCGGGGGGGCTCCAACTCCAAAGTAGACATATTTCAAAAAGCAAACGCGTAAGTTGAATCACACCAGGTTATTTATTTAACTACATCATTTAACTACAACGCTGGTATTTGTTGTCCTCTCTGYGGATGATTCTGGTTCCTTCCCAGTCCATAACATGATTTTCCCTTTTGCAGTGGTCCGTGATGGCTGATTTGTAATTTTCTTGCAGAGCTTGTTCTTTTTTGGATCGTGTTAGTCTTTCTTCTGTTTCTTTCTCACATTCCTTTTGATGCTCTTTCTTCCTTGTAGCCAAGGATCGTCCTGTCTCCCCTATGTATGTTTTATTGCAGGTATGGCATGGTATTTCATATATGGCATTACACTTTCTATCTTGCTCTACTTGGTCTTTAGGATGTACCAGCATTTGTCTAAGTTTTCTGTGTGGTTTGGTAGCTGAACTAATGTGGTGTTTCTTAAAATGCCTTCGGTTACATTCCGTGATTCCTCTGATATATGGTAGCATGACCCTTCCTTGGTTTTCTGTTCTTTCTGAGTTGTATTTTTTCTTATGTTTGATTTTTCTTTGTTCCATCTGTTTTTTTCCTTTTCTTCTGGCCCATTATTGACATTCCTTTAGTGCTTTTTCATTGTGTTTTTCTTCTTCTTTTCTATCATTTTCCTCCATTATTATCTGTGCGCGTTCAAATAAGGTTCTGACTACTGACATTTTGTGAGCTGTGGGGTGWTCTGATGTCCATAGCAAATATTTATCCGTGACTTAGACAAATGCTGGTACATCCATCATGGTTAGCACCAACACCTCACAGCAAGAAGGTCCTGGGTTCGATCCCCGGTTCAGACCTGGGGTCTTTCTGTGTGGAGTTTGCATGTTCTCCTCGTGCTTGTGTGGGTTTTCTCCGGGTACTCCGGTTTCCCCCACCCMTAAAAACATGAATAGGTTGCCTCCAGGCCTCCCTTGAAAAAGAGATCTGAGATCTCAACGGGACTTGCCTGGTTAAATAAAATAAATAAACGTTTTTATAATATATTACACGGACGGGGCCATTTTATTTACACACAAAGCATTCTGGGTAAATGACGTGGATAGGTCCTCAGTGTGAGCGAGCTATATCCACCCTGAAGGTTAATCTTGGACAATATCTGATGATCAACTCTTAAATGAAACCAGAGAGCGTTGACAGAGAGGAGAAGGTAGAAATGACTCAGCCTGGAACTGAAAATATGGATGGAGGACCTCAGTTTTGCTTGTTTGTCGTGCTAGCATCGAGCTAATACAATATAGCGTCGGTGCTAAAGCTAACAGGCTAAGCTGAGGTTCTTCTTCCWTGAAGCAGCTCTGTTGTCCTCCATCCATATTTTCAGTTMCAGGCTGADTCATTTCTACCTTCTCCTCTCTGTCAACGCTCTCTGGTTTCATTTAAAAGAGTCGATCATCAGATATTGTCCAAGATAAACCTTCAGGGTGGATATAGCTCGCATGAGGACCTATCCACGTCATTTACCCAGAATGCTTTGTGTGTAAATAAAATGGCTCCGTCCGTGTTAAAATATATTTTTAAAAATCTACAAAACTAAACAGCCTACAGTATTTTTACAGTCTTTATTTTACAGTTAAAATATATGTTTATCAAATAAGGTCTAATGTTACAACTAATCGTGGATCCCGTTAAATCTATTCTTAACAGCATTCCTGAGTGTAATTTTTTTTAGCTAATAGCTGAGCTTAAAAGTCATTTAAATCCTAAGTGTCAGTCTGAGTTGATTTATGACACTTTGTTGTGCAGCGAAGCTAATTCTGGATGATGTTAGAAAACAACTGATCACTGCATCAAATTTCATATTCAGGAATATTCTCTGAGTCGGGTTCAAAAACTTTTCTGTGCCATGGCCCCCCAAACGACATTAGCTTCGGGCCGATGACCCCCCCCGCAAACCCACAAAAAATGCTCTTAAATATGTAAAGAAACGTTGACTTTTCTCACTAATTTCTGACAATTTTCATACCTGGAAAATACAAAAAACAAATTCCAGTAAGTTTTCTGATTTTTCCAGACTCAGTAGCCCWGATGTAAATTTTAAAGTTGCAGTTTGTAGAAGCACACTTTTTGGCTGAGTACACAACATGTCCACACAAAAGAAATCTGAATAATAGGTCTTTTTATTAACAGACATCATGAAAATGTCAACAGTAACAAAATTTTTAGTCCATTTAAAAAACAGTGGGTTGAATTGACAAGACTCCTCCCACATAATAACTTAATGAGGGAGGGGGTTAAAGAAGGCAGGAAGTGGGCTGTACTCTGATCCATCATGATGCCAATACTCCCCACTGCAGCTGTTCACCAGCAAACTTTAACAGAGATAAAACAGCTGCCGTCTGTGCCCATCACAAGCACCAGCCACGTGTTGAACAGTGGCTACACRTCTTACAGTCGGGCCAGAGTTCTTCCTTACAGAAAGCCTGACTGCTAAAACACAAGCAGAGCTGAAGGTTTGTTCAGAAACAGAAAGAGTTCAGGTTGTGTTTCAGCAGCAGGTTCGTTTACTGATCCACCTCATAAGACACCCCAAACCAGGCAGGTCAGCAACACAGAAGCAGACAGAAAAATGTGACAATAAGTCCAGGAGGAAAGGGATTATATACAGGAGGAGATTATTAATGCAATTCACCTTGATTACAGAGGCAAATCCAGCTGCTTAACGAAGGAAAACCCAGAGTGTCCACAACAAGCAGCATCACAACACAAGCTGATCTTTACACTCACTTTGTTTTCATTTACTGCTGGTAAATAAATCAACAGAAATTTATAGAATTGGTTTGGCTCAGTTTCCACCACAGCCGCTTCGCTTTCAGGCAGTGAGGCAAGAGGGTCCGAGCCGAGCCCCCCTGTATTTCCAACCAGATCTTATCTTGGTCAACATGTAAAAGCACAATCTGATAACTGCCACACTCAGTTGTCAGGTCACACAGTGAAATAGATCATTCTGCTCAGCAAAGCCAACACTAAGTACAGTTGTTGTTGTTTTTGTATCTTTAGTAACCAACACTTGAGCAGAACTGAAGACTGTGACAACCAGGATTCAGAGTCCAGCTCTGTGGGACTTTACAGAAAATACATCTGCTTTGATTTATAATGTAGCACGTCCTCCTGTGCTCCACATTTACTTTTCTTATGATCAATACATTCAGTGAAGACTGATTTTATATATATTTATTTTTATGTGTGTTTATTAATTTTTTTAAACACAAATTTTATATATATCCAGTGGTACTTTTAGTTGACAATTCTTGTGTTAAAAAAAATACAAACAGCAGAATAAGAAAAACATTTCTTGAACGTTTTCTTTCTAAAAAATTTCTGGGTAAATCAGGGTTTGATATGCATTTTATGTTCACTTCGTAAAAAGATGTTTCCATTTAAAATGAAAAAAAAAAAAAGCCTGTTTCAAACCAATTTTGGCTGACAAGAATATATTAAACATAAATAAAAAAAAAAAAAAAAAAAGCCTGTTTCAAACCAATTTTGGCTGACAAGAATATATTAAACATAAATAATCTGCATCTTCTTAAAACGTAGAACACGAAACAACTTGTTTCTCATTTATAAATCGCTTCCATTTAAGATGCTGCAGTTAAGAGTAACTTAGTTTCTGATTTAAATTTAGAAGTGATGTAAAAAAATCACTCTGCTGGTTTGAGTAAAGCTTCTTTGACTTTTTTTTTATTGAACAGAGAATAAGTCTGGAGATGCACGTGCTTTCCTATACACTCTTCTTTCTACACTCYTCCAGATGTGGAAATGACTAAATAAATTGAAAACTTGGAGAGTGCAGAGGAACCCTGCAGGCTGATCTGGGTGAAATGTAACACTTTTTTTTTCTAAAACACTGCAGCAATGTTGTCAAAAACTCAAAAACATACCAAATATATAAAATAAAATAACTCGTTTTTCATTCTATAAAATTACCAGAAAAACACTGAAGTACTGAAGAAATAAAACCCTGCAGATTTATGAATTTTAAGTACATTTCTTTAATGGGAAACGTGATGACTTAAAACAAAAATTTAAAAAAAAAAAATAGAAAATTTCAGTAGATTTGTGGCTCAATAAAGTTGTTTTCATTTATTTTACCTCTGTTAACCAGCAGTCATGACTAATGCAGTTAAAATGTATTTAACAAAATCTGATGCTAAAACTCAATAATTTAGTGCCACAGAAGGCTTTTATTTTTATATTAATATAATGACCAAAGTGAGGAAGGTATGAGTGAGCTGGTTCCTGTGGACACAGTGAGTCAGGGACATGGGTTTTCAACGACAGCAGGACACAGAGAGAGCGTGTAAACTAAATGTAATCATTGTGTCCTGCAGGCTTGGCTGAGCTCTGTTCCTAGTAGCTTTACTTCCTTTACAACAGACACAGAACAGTGGAAGATAGAACATGGACAGCATCTCAAGACAGAAGCCTTAATACACTGTAGTGTGTGTGTGTGTGTGTGTCTATATATGCGTATAATTCTGCAGAATGAATGCATCTCCTCTGAACTGTATAGATAATCGGAGTTTTCTTGCAGCAGATGTTTGTTAGGCCTCACTCTCTCCAGCTGATGAGGTGTTCTGCACTTCCTCCTCCAGGATGGGGACGATCAGGTTGTCCTTGGACATCAAGTTGTATTTCATCACGAAGCGTGTGAACCGGTGACACAGGAACGTCTCGTTCTGCACAGACACAAATGACAGCAGTGACTCATCCTGTATGTGTTAATTTATGTTTGAGGACATGTATCAGTTGACTGGATTTCTTTATTTAAAAGATGTGTTCACTTCCTATTTCTTCCCTTTTAATCACATTTGTTTTATTACCTATGCCAAGGACGAGGTAATGTTTTCAGTCGCGTGTCTGTCTGTGGACAACATTACTCAAAAACTTGTGGATGGATTGTCATAACATTTTTACCACATGTGGCTACTGGCCCAAGTAACACACGTTACATTTTGGTGTTGTTCCGGATCACGATGCAGATACAGGAATTTCTTTTCTTTTAACACTCTGAGATCTGCAAAGCTGTGATGCTTTCACAGGGCTTCTGTAAAAAACAGTGAGCTGGATTGGACAGCACGGACTTCAAACTTTATAAAAGTAATGTTAAAACCASATTTAATGATGAATAATTTTTTTGCCATATTGTGCGCATTTTTACACATTTGGTGCGCATTTAGAGAACATTTTGTGACCAGGAAGTGYGTGACTGCAGCATGAAACCTATTTTTCCCATTTCCTCAAACAYATCACATTTTCAAAACAACCAATCAAAACAGTTTGTCTCTACTAGGCTTGTAAACAGAGAGCTGCCGGGCCTCAAAGTTTGGAGACGGGGGGAGCCAGGAAGCACTTTATAAAGAGAGTCAAACCATTACAAACCCACACAAGGAGATAAAACAGATGTTTTACATGGTGAAATGTGACTGATGAAAACTTAGGAGCTTAATCCAACACTAGTTTGATGATGAATAACGTTGGGTGACGAGTCTGATTTTTGTTTTGTTTGTTTTTTTTTCTACATTGGACTCCATCGGGAAGAAATTCCGTGCATACTGCTGCTTAAATGTTCGCCACGTCAGAACTTATTCGGCAAATGTGTTTCCATCTCTGYTTTTGTGYATTAACTCTTACAGGATGGGGGAAATTGGTCTTGACTGAGGTTTGCACTCTCCGAGTGCTTCTAGTTGTCAATGTTTTTAACAGTTAGCTTTGATAGAATAGGGACAAAGTGATGAGGCATCAGCCTTGTTGTAAATATGAAGGTTTACTTGCATTCCCTTCTTACAGTTATACACATCCAACCAATGATTGCAATCTGTAGGTTTCATTAAAATTTGTCCAGTGGTTAATGAGATATTTTGGTTACAGACACACACATAAGTTTATATTTCTACCCTTATTAAGACATTGTACTAACTAACACTATCGGTCATACTGCTCTATTGTGTGCAGTCTGTTCCTTCCTCCCTCTTTCTATTGAGCACACAGGTCACATTTGACGAGTGAGTGACCAAAGAAAGTCTCAGCCAACTCACAGCAAGACCCCCAATCCTAATCTGTGTTTAACAACCCAGCCAGGCAGATTACCAGTGTAAACTAGTTTTTGACCTGCTGAAAGCCATGTAATCCTGCAGGTATTACAAATGTTCAGACCGAAGATGACAACACAAAGTTTGGCAGCAAATTTAAAACTTTTCATTTGTCTAATCTTGTCAAGAATAAGCTCAATGCGTTTTGTATTAGACTGAATTAAACTGTATGCACACGTGGACAAAACTGTTGGTACCCCTTGTTTAATGAAAGAAAAACCCACAATGATCACAGAAATAACTAGAATCTGACAAAAGTAATAAAGAAAAATTCTATAAAATAAACAAATGAAAGTCAGACATTGCTTTTCAGCCATGCTTCAACATGCTGAGTCATTATCCTGTAAGACCCATGACCTGTGACTGAGACCAAGCTTTCTGACACTGGGCAGCACATTTCTCTCTAGAATCCTTGATAGTCTTGAGATTTCATTGTACCCTGCACAGATTCAAGACCCCCTGTGCCAGATTAAGCAAAGCAGCCCCAGAACATAACAGAACCTCCATGTTTCACAGTAGGACAGTGTTCTTTTCCTCATGTTTCATTTTTCCCTCTGTGAAAATAGAGCTGATGTGCCTTACCAAAAAGTTTATTTTTTGTCTCATCTGTCCAGAGGACATTCTCCCAGAAGCTTTGTGGCTCCTCAACATGTAGTTTGGCAAATTCCGGTCTGGGTTTTTATGATTTGGTGTCCTCCTTGTTCATCTCCCATTAAGTCCACTTTGGCTCAAACAATGACGGATGATGTGATCTGACACTGATGTTCCTTGAACCTGAAGTTCACCTTTAATCTCTTTAGAAGTTTTTCTGGGCTCTTATGTTACCATTAGTATTAGCAGTCTCTTTTAATCGTCATTAATTTTCTTCCTGCAGCCACGTCCAAGGAGGTTGGCTACAGTCACATGGATCTTAAATTTCTGAATAATATGTGTAACTGTAGTCACCGGAACATCAAGCTGATGGTCAAGTTCAAGTTCAGTTTATTTATTTATATAGCGCCAAGTCACAACATACATTGTCTCAGGGCACTGTACATAAAAAGAACAATCTAAAGAAGAAGACAACAGATTGTGTTGAATCACTTCATCACAGTCTCCCATCCTGAGCAAACAGTGGAGACGTAAAACTCCCTGCTAATCAGGAAGAAACCTCCAGCAGAACCAGGCTCAGGGCAGGCAGCCATCTGCCTCGACTGGCTGGTTGAGGGACAGGAAAGAGACACAAACAAACACAGAAGAACTGGTCCAGGTGCACCTTCTTGGTCTTCTGGTCTTATAACCTTTACCTTTAACATGTTTGTCTATAATTTTCTTTCTAATCTCCTGAGACAACTCTTTCCTCTCTTCCTCTGGTCCATGTTGAGTGTGGTCGACACCATGTCACCAAACAGCACAGTGAGTATCTGTGGCCCTATATACAGGCCCACTGACTGATATGGGATGTGGGCTAAGATTAAAAGAGTTTATAGATCTGTAACTGGGAGAACATGAGTAGAGCAGGAGGGAGAGGTTTAAACCCACCTCATACTTGTCAAATATCTGACGATGGTGGAAGTAAGCATGGGAGAATATCCTATAGATGCGACGACAAACAGAGCCCAGCTTGGCCACTGATGACTCCTTGATGCTCACCCTGAAAACACGAGAGACAGCAAAAAGAGTCAATGTGTGGAAAATACAGACAGACAAATTGGTTTGTGTTGCTTTGTTAAAGAAAAAACACAACAGTAACTGAAATAAATTGAAATTTGAATTCAATTTAGGTAAAACAGGATTATTTTAAGACCACTCTAATACAACTGGTTTTGACTAAAAAARTGTTGGTACTCGATATTTTTTTCTACAACCTTTTGAGGCAAACATTGTCATTTCCGTAACTCAGATTTCTGCACCTGTCCACAGGTATTTGGACCCACTCCTTGTGAACAAACTGCTCCAGTTGTCTCAGGTTTTAGGAGTTTCTTCTCCAGATTGCAGGTTTCAGCTCCTTCCACAGACGGTCAACAGGATTTAGATCAGGGCTCAGATGGTCACTTCAGAACAGTCCAATGCTGTGTTTTAAACCATTCTTGAGTGTTTAGTTGTGTGTTTTGGTCATTCTTCTGTTGGAAGATTATGAGTTGTTTCTGAGACCAAGCTTTCTGACACTTGGCAACACATTTCACTCACAAAATGTTTTGATAGTCTTGAGAGGTCATGGTACATTTTCATTGTTCATTAGTATGCCGAGGACCACGTTGAGCTTTTAGGCTAGATGCTGCGTGTGAGCATCAAGGATTAATGTGTTTATCTGTGCCTGAATTTACTTTAGAACAGAGATTCTTAACCCATGGGCCGCAGCCCACAATTGGGCCACGAGCGCCACCTTGAGGGCCTCAACAGAAGAACAGTTTTTAACTTTGGGCCGCAGTGATTTTGAATAAGGTGCAATACACTTTCTCACGACTAGTAGCAGT